TGAAAATGTCATCAATATATCTTAAGTATAGCAAGGGGTTGAAGCCCAGGGAAGAGTGACCCTCGCACACCCCGGCAGGATGCAGGGTACTGTGGATCAGGAATGAGGGGCAGCAGCAGGGCTGTGGGGGCTGTGGCTTGGGAACGAGAGGCAGGGGCAGGGCATGTGCACATCACTGTTCTCCCCACAATCATATTACCAGCCCCAACAGGTGTCCTCTTTTTTGAAATGGAAAATATAGTAACCCTGCAGGAATGCAGCCCGGAGACATGTAGAGCAGCGCCCAGGAGGTAAGTCTGTGGAGAGGAAGGGGTGGGCACAGAGGGGCAGATCGAGGCCCCTACAGTGAGGGAGGGAGAGAAGCAGAGGCAGGGGATGGAACAAATAGGGATGTGGGGCTGGAGCATATCATGGGAGAGAGCTGCAGGTGGCTCATCCAGGGGAACAGGTGTCACAGCTCCCCACCGTTGTGCACACCCCCAGGGGAGGCATATGTATCTCCAGATTTGTATACAGGGCAGACATGGGCTGGCCACTGCAGGCTGGGGCTCTGCACTCTGCTGCCTTTGCCCGAAGAGCCACGTGCTGGCTGCGCATCCCCTGCCTGTCCAATGATGTGAGGCACAACATGGCATTGTGTGGCTCGTGGGGCAAAGGCAGCAGGGTGCAGAACCCCATCTCACAGTGAGCAGCCTGCCTCCACCCTGCACACAAATCTGGAGGGCACATGCCCTCTATGCCACCCCTAGGGGTGCATACAGCAGCAGGGAGTGCTCCCCCGATGCCCTTAGACGATCCACCCGTGGCTTTGTTCTACAACCTACTCTGTCCCCAGGGCCCCAGTCACCCCGGCTCCTGTCCCACTTCTTCCCTCACCATGGGGGCCTCGATCTGCTGCCCCCTTTCCTCTTCCCCCCTTCCCTTCCCCTTCCCCTCCACAGACTTACTTTCTGGGTGCTGCTCTAACGCTGCCAGGCTGTGTTTGTGGCCATCTGTGAGCCCTCCCCAACCCCACCCCAAGCATTCCTGCTGTAGCAGCCTAGAGTCCATGCCCAGGATGCCCTGTGGCTCCTCTGCACTTCCACCACTCCCCCACTGGGCAACCCAGAGGCAGCAGCAGAGTGGAGCCCAAATGACGGCTCCAAAACCATGTGCATGATTAATGTGTTAAAAACTGTAATGCAAGAACCAATTAATGCATTAAATGTGCACTATAACAATGATTAACTGACAGCCCAAATTTTAATCCATGAGCTGAAAGAATAAAGAAAGTCATTATTGATGCAGTTCGG